TAACCATGCATTGAAGTGTTTAGTGAAGGAATCATTTGTTCTTTACGATGTTTATGGTTCTGAAACTTCTGATAAAAGTATGGAACAATCTTTTTAGGAAACTGTTTTGTTAACAGTAAACTCTAACTTGTGCTGGAATTTTAAGGTTCAGAGATTTTGGTGCTTCTATTCTCGCTTTCCAGCATTTTGTTAGAAACTTGGTTTTCTCTTGCTCTGATTCGCTTTTCCATGAATGGATTTTGAAGTCATTGATTTTTTGAGCTTCTTAGCAGACTAATGATCTTCTTTCTCTTCTCGGTAGGCATGAAAGTCAAAGTTTTCCGAATTTTCTAATAGGCCTATTTAAATCAATCTTCAAACTCTATCATTTCATCTAAATCTGGGAAAACATTGGTCAGTTTTCTTTTCCTTCCTTTACTATAATGTTTTTATTGATAAGATTTCTGCATTGTTTTACATTTTCTTAAGTTAGCAAGGTTAGTCGTCCAATTATAATATCATTCAAAAGCTGCACTTTTTTGGATATGGAGGATCGTAGTATCCAACATTTACAAATAGGATTATCTGCTCTAGTTTGAAGGAATTGTTTGGTTATTACTTTTACTTAATTTCTGTGAAAAAACAGTCACTTGTTTGTATCAAATGTAATTTGGATCTTACAGCTTAATAGATTTTATTTGTCTTATTTGGATAAACTTCTCAATAAAATAAATTCTTATTGGAAAAGTAAATAAGAGGATAGAATTACTTCGGCTTTTCCTATAAGTTAATATTGACTTGTGCATGTGCTAATTCCTTTGTCTTCGTATTCTGTTTATTTTTTCGGAATAGCGTTTTCTAAGTTATTTGCCTGATTTTGATTGATGACTAACTTCACAACTCAATCAATCCATTGCTATAGCCTATAGTATTGACTTTGTGTCCTGGTTACACGAATAAGATTGGTTTCTTTTTTAATCCAATCCATAAGACTCTAGATTTCACGAGGTATTTGTTTCGTTGGGCTAATTTCAACAGGTTAACATGTTGTCTGTGGGAATATTTGTTGAGCTAGAGGATGAGAGAGCTCCATGAATTCACAGCTCAGGTAGCATTTTGTCCTATATTTTACTGTTTTATAAAAAGTTAAAATTGCGAAGAGTGGTTTCAGTAATGAATTCTCTACTTTTCTCTTGTCACACACCCTAAAGCATGGAATTAAAATCTCATTGGGCTTCAAGTAGGGATACAACACATGATTTAATCAACTTGCATGACTCATCTGTTTTATAGCAATTATTAATATCATAAATAGGGATAGAAAATTGTCTAACCATTCTTGTTTATCATGTCTACAAATTAATCAACTTTAAACTTTTTAAGTTGAAGCTAGATTTTAATGTCTTTAACCTGCCAAATACATTTGATTTGTGTTATAACAAGGTTCCGTCCAACAACAGTACAATAATGAGTATAAATCCTAGCAATGGTACTCTCGGCCCAATTTGCATCTGGGTTGGCTTTTATTTGTAAGTATCCACTTCATACAGTAATCCACTTCCTGGTGAGCTAAAATAACATAATATATAGTCATAAAATTAGCATTATTAATAGTCATAATTTTTAAATGTATTAAGATAGTAATTTTAAATATGATTTTTTTATAATTTTATAGGGAAAAATTTAATTTAGAAAATAGAGACATTTGAAATTTACATTTTTAATAACTTGAGTAAAATTAAATTCTTTGTAAAAATAATACACCAAAAAAAATAATTGTAAAAAAAAGACTAAATTTGATAAATACATTCAGTATATTAATTACATAAACGCAAGGACGGAGCCAAGGGGGGACCTACGGGTGCCACGGCCCCCCTAACAATTTTAATTTTTTTTTATATACATATATTTTATTATATGGCACCCCCTATATGGCACCCCCAGTATTGAAATCCTGGCTCCGTCCCTGCATAAACGTATGTAATTAATTTCATTATAAAAAATTTAGTGTTTTATTTAATGGTACATATTATGGTTGCTAAATAAAATTAAAGCAAAGTTTTGAAATTTAACGTGAATCATGAAGATATTTTCAATGGTGAGTTTTATTTAAAATCATTCTTATATGCCAAATAAATAATAGAAAATATTAACGGAATAAAAAGTATAAAAAAATGAAAGAATTAATTTAGTAGCGTGAATGAGACCCTAATTCGTTAATTATGAACGCGTTACTTCACTGAAATTTGTGCTCTTCTCCGCCTCACTACATAAAAATCTCTCTATTTTTAAGTACATGTTTGTGGTTTATAAGGTTGACTATTTCAATTTCAGGATGATTCAAACGTGAAACGTACCGTTTTCACCATAAGGTTTTTATCCCTCTGTCTCTGTGTTTGTGGTAATAAAAGCACATACATTGTTTTATTTTGTTTAAAATTAATTTTGGTGCTTCCATGTTATAAGAAATAGTTTTTTTTAAAGTGCATGCCAATTTGTGGTTCACACGTGCATTCATACACATGACACAGGAAGTCACATTTAGTCTTTGATTTTGTTTCATTTGTGTGTAAATTCACTCATTCATTTACTTCAATTTTCGCTACGTGACTTTAAATTTGCTACATCAATATATTTTATTAAAATAATTTAATTTTTTAGACTATCTATTTTTCGGTCCTATATTTTCGTAGAGGATGATACGATCCCTTTCATGATGTGCAGTTGTAAAAAAATATTTAATGGATTATATGATTTTCATAACTATTATATATTCGCATGTTACGATTTTCTTTTTACTTTATTTTACTTACAAATTCATCGCATGTAACGACTCAAAATGATATTTTGTTAGTTTTGCAGTTTTTTTTTCAAGGTTATTGTTTGTATGATTTATTTCTGATTTTTCGTTAAAATCTGATATTTCTGATTTTTCTGATTTCCGAAGCAATTCATGACCCTATATGAATTTTATCTTCAAATTTAAAATTAATATTGTACTTATTTTGTACTATATGGGAACCCGTACTTTCTCTCTTTAACAAAATAATAGTTTCACCATTTATTTAAAATTTAATAATAGTGATTATTATAATTATTTATATATTTCTTAATAACAATTCAATATATAATTGTCCACAAATGCTATTTGACAGATATCTATATAACAATATGCCAAATTCAAATGCTCAACAACAAGAACAACAACGAGAAAGATGGAGACAAAACTATAGAAATAGAAGAAATCGAATGAACATGGATCAAAGACAACAACAATTGTCTAGGCGACGTACAAATTACCAACAAAGGAGACAACAACAAGACGAAGTACACACATCATCTTCAACAACTCATCCAACTAATTCACATATGTGTACAACCACAGAGATGTTAAATAATTTGCCAAACATAACCTTTCAACATTCCACAAATGCTAATTCCCACAGCAGAAGAAGACTGACATATGTACGACAATTAGCTCGGTCTACTACGTTTCAAAGAATAGGTAACATTCAAACAAATGCACATTTTTCAAATATTGGTCACGTTGGTCATGGTTAGTTGTGTATAATTTTTTTAATATATTTTTTCAAAAATATTTTTTCTTTTTGGTAAAGTTATTATTATTTTTTACTAAACATTTACAATTTAAATTTTCTTCAACAGGGTTTCAAGGAACAAATGACAATGAAGCAGGACCGAGTATCAGAAATATTGATCACTTAATTCATGGTTAGTCATCATGAATTTCAAATATATTCATAATTGTTTATTTCTTTTATTTGACAAAAAATTAGGTTAAATTATCTATTTAAATTTTATATTTATTTATTTATTTTAATAAATTCATTAAAATTTTTGTATGGACACATTTACTTTTTTTTTTCATATTTTATAATCATGCAGATCATCTAACAAGGTTTCAAGGAACAAATGACAATGAAGTAGGGCCGAGTAATATACATATTAATAACAATGTTAATGGTTAGTGAAAATTAAATACAATTATGACAAACTATCATATACATTCAAACATTTTATTCACTTAACATATCATAAACATAAATTTACAATTTATGAATGTTATTTTCTGGTTATACAATAATACAGATTTCATGGAAGTGGAAATGCAAAATGGGAACACTATAGAACCAAATATTCAAGGTACACACAATTTCTTTATGACCCGTATTGTTTTTTATTGTTTTTATTTATTAATTACCATATATTATACATGCGTGCCCACACGCGCGCGCACACACACATATATATTATTTTATTTTTATTAAAATACATTATCACTTTCTTAAATAACGCAGAATTGCCATCTCA